GAGCGTCTAATTTACTTGCTCTTGCTTCTTTCATCTGTGACATGGGGATAGCAACACTTTACCTCTTCTTCCTCTCCTGAAGACACAGGGTTATGACTTGTAATAATTAGTCCCTGACATTCAGAACCAGAGATCTGAAGCCGTGCCCCATGGCTTATTATTCTGGACATGTTTTTGGCTTGAGTACATGGAAAATGACTGGTTTTCTTTTCAACCATTTTCTCCGTTTTTTGTTTTGTTTGTTTTGGTAAATGTTGAATTCATGAACTGTACATGTGAGGCAAGTGGTCTACCACTAAGCTACATCTGCAGATGTACATATAGATTTAGAACATATGTGTTTATACGTTTGTATATATGTGTGTGTATGTAAACACTGTGTATATATACATACACCACACATATATGTGTGTATGTGTGTGTGTGTGTGTGTGTGGTGGTGTGGTGTTGTTTGCTGTTTTTTTCTTTTTTTGTTTTTCGAGACAGGGTTTCTCTGTGTAGCTTTGCGCCTTTCCTGGAACTGGCTTTGGAGACCAGGCTGGCCTCGAACTCACAGAGATCTGCCTGGCTCTGCCTCCCGAGTGCTGGGATTAAAGGCGTGCGCCGCCACCACCGCCCCGGCTGTTTGCTGTTTTTTAACACTAAGTCTCACTAAGTAGCCCTGGCTGGTGTGGAACTCCCCTATATCAATCAAGCAGCCTCATTTCTGTCTTAGTAGGGTTACTATTGCTATGGTGAAACACCATGAACAAAAGCAAATTGGAGAGGAAAACGCATTTAATTTGGTTTATACTTCTACATCTTAGTCCATCACTGAAGGAAGTCAGGACAGGACCTCAAAAGGGCAGGAACCTGGAGGCAGGAGCTGATACAAAGGACATGGAGGGGTGCTGTTTATTGGCTTACTCTTCATGACTTACTCAACCCTGCTTTCCTATAGAACCCAGTGTAGAATATTATTTTATTTATTTATTGTAGAATATTATTTTAAGGTGTGTTGCATTTGTTTTAACTCTGTGAAGCTGTATTACTTTGCCTTGTCTAAAACACCTGATGGTCTAATAAAAAACTGAACAGCCAATAGCAAGGCAGGAGAGAGAGGTAAGCAGGGTTGGCAGGTAGAGAGAATAAATAGAAGGAGAAATCTGGGAGGAGAAGGAAGGAGCCAGAAAAGGAGGAGGACTCCAGGGGCCAGCCACCCAGCTACACAGCCAGTTATGGAGTAAGAGTAAGATTTACAGAAGTAAGAGAATGGGAAAAGCCAAGAAACAAAAGGTAGATGGGATAATTTAAGATAAGAAAAGCTTGGGCTAGAAACAAGCCAAGCTAAGGCCGGGCATTTATAAGTAAGAATAAAGCTTCTGTGTGTGATTTATTTGGGAGCTGGGGGGGGGGCAAAAGAGCAAAAACAAACAACAATAACTCAGGACCACTAGCTCAAGGATGGAACCACCCACAATGGACTGGTCCTTCCCTCATCAATCACTAAGTGAAAAAACGCCCTATAGGCTTTTCTACAGCCTAACCTTATGGAGTCATTTCTCAATTGAAATTCCATCCTCTCAGATGACTTTAGCTTGTGTTAAGTTGACATAAAACTAGCCCACACAACTGATCCCTCGTCATCTTGACATATAAACACATCACTGGTTAAGCCACAACCTTGACCTTCTTGTTGAGTTCATAGAGATCTGACTGCCTCTGCCTCCCTAGTGTTAGGATTAAAGGCATGAGCCACCACACACCCAGTCTTCGATTGTTATTTTAATTTCAGTCAAAAGCACTATACAATGAATATGAGGGGACTGGAGAGATGACTCAGCAGTTAAGAGCACTGGCTGCTCTTCCAAAGGACCTGGATTTAATTCCCAGCACCCACATGGCAGCTCACAACTGTCTGGAACTCCAAGATCTGACACCCTCACACAGACATATATGTAGGCAAAACACCAATGCAGATTAAAAAAAAAAAAGTTATAATGAAGGGGCTTGTGGTTTGAAAGAGGTAGAACACAGGTCCCTGCAGGAATTGCAGGCATGCACTACCACCCTCAGTTGTGTGGGTGCGGGGCATCAAACCTAGGGCTTCCTGTGTGTGAGACAAGCACACGAAATTCCCTGCAAAAGTAACAAATTCCAGCTGGGCACAATGATGCATGCCTTTAATCCCAGCACTTGGGAGGCAGAGGCAGGTGGATGGCTGTGAGTTCGAGGCCAGCCTGGTCTGCAAATCAATACAAATAATCAATACAAAAGAAAAGCAAGAAAGAAAATACAAACTAACTTTGTTTTGGATCTAAACTCCTTAAAACAATCAGAGAAAGGAGTGTTAACTTCAGCAGCCTGAAACGACATTTTACAATAACAAAAAGAGCTTCTTAAACTAAAATTAACTTCCTCACTGAAGGTGCCAGTTTGTGCTTTTACACTTTTCCTGTAGCTGCCGAGTGAGAAAGTGTGTGGTGCAGTGTGGGGGAGCTCATCTGAGATGCCAAGGGAACACATGGGTCTTAGGACCTGGTGACTAAGAGAAGTAAGGGACATGAAGTAATGACTTCGAATACTCATTTATGCTTTTTGATAGAGGGATGATTTTTTTTTTCAAGACAGGGTTTCTCTATGTAACCCTGACTGTCCTGGAACTCCTTCTGTAGACCAGGCTGGCCTCGAACTCACAGAGATCCGCCTGCCTCTGCCTCCCACGTGCTGGGATTAAAGGCGAGCGCCACTGCCGCCCACTGATAATTTAAGAAGTAGAGATACAGAGGCTGCAGAGATGGCAAAATGCTTCCCATGTGAGCATGAGCACTTCCGTCCCATCCCAGCACCCCATAAAGTCTCCATTGGCGAGGTAGCTCCTAAGACATGACCTTGGAGGTTGCCTTTTGAACTACACTTACGTGTATGAACACACACTGCTAACATGCACTCATACCCATGCACACACACACACTGACACAAACAATTAAAAAAATAAAAGTAGAAAAATAAGCTAGGCTTGATGGTACATACCTGTAATTCTAGCATTTGGGAGGAAGAGGCAGGAGAATCAGAGATTCAGGGTCCATTTTGGTATATGATGAGTACCAGGCTAGCCTGGTATAAATGATATTCTATCTCAAACTAACAAACAAACCAGCAATTGACTGTGTATCACTTCTTGCCTCCTAGAATCCAAATATGGTCCCAACCTGGGGAATCATCGACAAGATTCTGAGCCTTTTTTTTTTCTTCAAGACAGGGTTTCTCCATGTAGTTTTGGTGCCTGTCCTGGATCTCTCACTGTAGACCAGGCTGGCCTTGAACTCACAGAGATTGCCTGGCTCTGTCTCCCGAGTGCTGGGATCAAAGGCGTGTGCAACCACTGCCCAGCTTGGTTTTGAGCCTTTTCCTGATATAGAGACTAAGAGGCTGCTTGGCTCCATTTTCTTGATCTTGTCTTCCACAGAGGAGTCTTGGACCTAAGTCAGGCCTACTGTATGACCTGGTTGAGATTTTGGCCTTCAGCAAATAATATAAAGTTCCAAATGACTTTAAAAAAAAAAGGCACATACCTTTAACCCCAGCAGCACTCAGACAGCAGAGGCAGGCAGATCTGAGTGTGAGGCCAGCCTGGTCTACAGAGCAAGTTCCAGGAAAGCCAGGGCTACACAAAGAAACCATGTCTCAAAAAACAAACAAACAAAAACTCACTTTGGCTGCCGTAGAGACAGTTTAAAAGAGCAACACAACTTGGTGTCATCCCAGTAGGAAGTAAATGATAAATTGTCACAACATTAAAAAAAAAAGAAAGAAAGAAATTTCAGCTTTAATCCCGACAGCACATACCTTTACATCACAGCATTTGGGAGGCAAAGGCAGGTGGATCTCAGTGAGTTCAAGGCCAGTCTCTGGTCTACAAAGCAAGTTCCAGGACAGCCAGGACTGTTATACAGAGAAACCCTGTCTCAAAAAACAAAACAAAACAAAAAAGTCACAGAATCTTAGAAATGTGGTGGTAACTTTAGAATTGATTTTGTTCCACCCCGGCAGTATAGAGCGGCATGTACTGAAAACTCTAGTCTATTTAGAAGGCCTGAAGTACAGTTTACATGATGATGTACCTGCTGTCGCTCTTGGTTAACTGAATGTGTACAATCGTGCTTCTGTGGTCAGGAGATGGTTTTCTTTTGAGAGCTGATCCTCGGAATCTAAACAGAGCAGTTTGTCATTTTTTTTAAATAATTTATTTAACTTTATTTTATGTGCGTTGGTGTGAGAGTGTCAGATTCCCTAGAACTGGAGTTATAGACAGTGTGAGCTGCCACGTGGGTGCTGGGAATGAACCTGGTCCTCTGGAAGAGCAGAAGAGCAGCCAGTGCTCTTCACCGCTGAGCCATCGCTCCAGCCCGTTTGTCATTCTTCCACCATTTTTGCTTTAAAAGAAGAAAAGTTCTATAAAACCAGAAGTGTCAGCATGGCTTTATAGAAATAGCATTCTCGATGTGTAGTGGTGGCGCACGCCTTTAGTCCCAGCCCTGGGGAGGCCGAAGCAGGTGGAGCTCCGAGTTTGAGCGTCTTCAGAGTGAGTTCTAGGACAGCCAGAGAGAGAGAGAGAGAGAGAGAGAGAGAGAGAGAGAGAGAGAGAGAGAGAGAGAGAGCATTCTCATCTCATCTTTGTGTTCCCCTTGTTCTGTAGCACAGGACTGTCTCTGTCCAATAGTGAACACATGGTAGAGTGCTTGCCTAGCACCCAAGTGACTGCTGTGTTGGATCTGCAGCATCCTAAAGCAGGTGTGATAACACATACTGGTAACCCTAGGACTTGGGAAGCAGATGCAGGAGGACCAGGAATTTAAAGTTATCTTCAGTTGTAAAAGACCCCATCTGAAGACAAAAGAACAAAGCACAGTGGCTTGATGAGTGCTTATTTTGGAGGACTTAGCAAGTAACTTCTTTTTTTTTTTTTTTAACCATGCAACAAAACCTTTATTAACATTTTTTTTTTTTTTTTTTTTTTTTTGGTTTTTCGAGACAGGGTTTCTCTGTGTAGCTTTGCGCCTTTCCTGGAACTCACTTGGTAGTCCAGGCTGGCCTCGAACTCAGAGATCCACCTGGCTCTGCCTCCCGAGTGCTGGGATTAAAGGCGTGCGCCACCACCGCCCGGCCCCTTTATTAACATTTTTAACAGAGGTTCAGCTATTACTGAAACTTGTAATTTCTAAACTTAAATTGGTGCAAATGGCTATAGTGCAGAGTAAGGCCATCATTGTCCACTGGGAATGCAGACTGAAGAATTAATAGCCACCCCTCAGACGGAGGACCAGGTGCAGGGTGGACTCTTTCTGGATGTCGTAGTCAGAAAGAGTGTGGCCATCTTCCAGCTGCTTGCCTGCAAAGATCAGCCTCTGCTGGTCAGGGGGGATGCCCTCTTTGTCCTGGATCTTGGCCTTGACATTCTCGATGGTGTCACTGGGCTCGACCTCCAGGGTGATGGTCTGGCGGGTCAGGGTCTTCACAAAGATTTGCATTTTGACCTGTTCACGAGTGTGATGAAACCACAAACCGCCGAAGCGCGTCGAGTCACCCGGACTCAAGCAGCTCCGCAGCAGACAAAGCTTGAAAAATAATTTTTTAGTGATATTTTATTTTGTGTGTTTACCTGTACGGGAGGGCCATGCATGTGCCACAGGGTTCATGTAGAAGTCAGAGGAGGGCAGCGACCGGAAGCTGGTACTCATTTTCTACCATGCGGGTCCCAGGGATTGAACTTAGATTTTCTGGCTTGGTGGTAGGTACCTTTATCTCACTGGTCCAGACTATGATGACTTCAAACTCAGAGATCTGCCTGCCTCTGCCTCCCAAGTGTTGGGACGAAAGGCTTGCATCAACACACTGGATTTTTTCCTTTTCTAGAGAGGGTATCAGTAGCTCAGGCTGGCCGCAGAGGATGACAGTGGACTTCTGATCTTGCCTCCACCTCCCAAATATTGGGATTAATAGACATATACCACTGTGGTCAGTTTAATGAGTTCTTCAAAAAAGAGAAAAAACAAAAAATGCAATAATAAATATAGGCTCTACAGGGGCCAGCAAGATGGCTCCCAGGTGTTGCCTAGCAAGCCTGGAGAAATGAGTTCAAGTCCTGGAGTCTGTGTAAAGGTGGAACAAGACTTGCATGTCTCTCCTCTACCCATACCACACACAATAATAGTAAATATTAAAACAAAAAACCAAACTCTAACATCCAAGGATGGTGGCACATGCCTTTAACCCCAGCACTCACCAGGTAGAGGCAGGCAGATCTCTGTGAATTGGAGGCCAGCCTGGTCTACGTGATGAGTTCCAGATCAGCCAGGGCTACATAGTGAGACCCTGTCTCAGTAAACAAAGTAAACCCCAACACCAACACAATCATAGGCTTGCCAGGTGCAGAAGGGCATGCCTTTAATCTTGTCGCTATAGTGAGTTCCAGGACAGCCAGGAAGACAGAATCAAAAGTAAATAAACTGGGCTGCAGTGGCGCAGGCCTTTAATCCCAGCACTTGGGAGGCAGAGTGAGGTGGATCTCTGTGAGTTCGAGGCCAGTCTGAGTCTACAGAGCGAGCTCCAGGACAGGCACCAAAACTACACAGAAAAACCCTGTCTCAAAAAACAAAACAACAACAACAACAAAAGAAATATATAATTTTTAAAAAGTGGCCTCAACACAAAACATAAAGCAAAACCCGGAAGTGTATATTGATTCCATCATTGACAGGGCTTATTGCTCCAATCCATGGGATCTATGACTACTGGAGATGCTTTAAGAGCTGAATGGTATTCAGGTGAGGGGGTCTGGACTGCCTTTCTGAGTAGGAATGAATCCCGGATTCCAAGGGTACTATCACCTCTTGACCTTGGAGCTTGCGTATCAGGCCCAGGTGGAATCAGGTAACAGATTATTTATTTATTCATTCATTTATTTTATTTATGGTGATTTAAGGCTTAAAATAGACAGGAGGGTCTGCAGGTAAATTCACTTTGTTCGGAACTTCGTGCCTTTCCAGTGGAGTTCCCTTCCTGAGCTCTGTTGCTTGTCCAGACACAAGGATGTTTTGAATGGAGGTCAACAAGGGAGGTCACCCTCCGGAATGTTTTCTCCTACCGGGAAGGAAGAGGAAGCCTGTGGCCCCTTCCAACACCAAGGAGGCGCTGCAAAACCCCCGGGCTCCCAACAGCTGCAGATTTCTGCCGGGGAGCTGCGAAACTTCTGGGGTTGCCATGGTCCATGGGAGCGAAATGCTGGCCGCCCTCTGGTACCGCAGCCCTGAGCCTGCTGTTGCAGCGTCCTTGTCCAGTCCCTTTCAAAAGCTTTTCAAGGGGGATCCCTCCTTGGGGAGGAGCTGGGACGGGACATGAACCTGGGCTTCCGTCCAAACGACTGGGGCGAATAAAAGAGGTTTTTCTTAAACTACCGGGCTGCAGCCCCGGGCTGGGCTCAAAGGATTTTTTTTTTTTAACCCCCTCAGTGTTTTCCTGGAGAGCAGAGACACGGTTCACCCCCAGCTTAGCTTGCACATGGGCCATCTTCCCTTCCAACTGGAGGCAAAAACGGTTTCTCACCCTTGCTCGGGGCGGGCAGGGGAGGCGAAAAGAAATGAATCACTACCCGCCCCCCCCATCCCCGCCCCAACAACCGCATCCCACCCCACCCCACCCCAGCAGGGGTCGGCTCGACCGACGTGCAGAGCCAGCCAGCCAGCCAGCCAGCCAGCCAAGCCATCCGGGGTGACTTGCAAATTCTGGGCACTTCTTGGCTAGGACGCCCGGGGAGTCGCCTGAAATGCCAAGGCGCCCGCGGGCGCCGGCCTCTCGGTGGGTGCCCCGGGGCGTCTGGCTCGCCCGTCCTCGCGGCGGTCTGCGGCGGGGGGGGTGGGGGGGAAGGATTTAGGGGCGCGCAGACAAAGGGGCGAGCGGGGAGCTCGCGAGCGGCAGCGGGGAGGGGCGGGCGGGCGAGCGGGCGGGCGGCGTCTTCTCCTCCCGGCCCCGCGGCGGCGGCGGCGGCGGCGGCGCGTCACGTTCTCTTCCCCGCCCCGAGCCGAGGAGCCGGGGAGGCGGCGGCCGCGGCGGCTGCTGCTGCTGCTGCTGCTGCTGCTGCTGCTGCTGCTGCTGCTGCTGCTGCTGCTGCTGCTGCTGCTGCTGCTGCTGCGAGGCAGGTGGCGGAGACCCGCGGCGTCCCAGGCGGTGAGCGAAGCGCGGGCCTGTTTCTTCTCTCTCTCTCTCTCTCTCTCCTTCCTCGCCGTTTCTCTCTCCATTTTCTCTCCCTCCGCTCCTTCCCGCGCGCTGGGGTCCGGGGCGAGCCTGGGAGAGGGAAGGCTCGGCCCCTCAGCTCCCGCCACGTTCCCCCGCCGCCCGCCGCCGCCGGGCGAGCGGGCGAGCGCCTGGGAGGAGGAGGAGGAGGAGGAGAGGGCTTGGCGGCGAGCGGCGCGCGGCCGGCCGGCCCTGTCAGCCGCGGCCCGGGCCTTGCCTTCCTCCCGCCCGCCGGCCTCAAGATGGAGCGGGGACTCCTCGGCCCCCCGCGTCCTCGCCTCAGCTCTGGGGGGCCGAGGGGGGGGTTTGCGGGGAGCTCCGGGGATGGCTCTGCCCCTCGTGGAGGCCGCGGGTCCGGTTGGACCTGTTGCCCCGGGACGCCGCCGCCGCCGCCGCTCGTCCCCTTCCTCCTCTTAAGTCAGGCCGCCGGGTGCCCCCGTGTGCGAGCCGGCATGGAGGGCGGCGGGCGTCCTTGCCTGGCTCGCCCCGGGCCCGGCCCGACCCGGCCCGGCTCGGCCACGTCCCTGCTCGGCCCCCGGGCTTTTGTTTTTTTGTGTTTTTCGCCCCCCCCGCTTCAGATCCCCTCGGATCTCTGAGAAGGTGGCAGGGCGGGCGGCATGGGGGTGCCAGAGCTCTCTGAAATCACCGCTGCCGGGTAACCCGAACCGGCTCCGGCGGCGGCCGGGGATTGGCGCGGGAGACAGATGATGACACTTGTTCGGGGAGGTGGAGGGGTGGGGTGGGGGGGCTGGGAGAGGGGCAGCGTTTAAAAAGCAGAGGTTTTTCCGTCTCGGATTAGGAGATCTTGCGTTACGATGAAAAAACAAAACACACACACACACACACACACACACACACACACACACAAAAAAAAAAAAAAACCAAAAATATCGGATTTTGATCCTGGAGTACGGCCCTGAAATCCCGCTGTCTGTCCCCTTCATGTGGCGTTTCCATCTGCCGGGAACCGCGCACCCCCACCCCCTTCCTCCCTGCCCAGCCCCACCTCTCGGGTACGAAGACGAAATGACACGTTAGGTCCGCGATCCGTGTGGATGGATACCTGCTTTTAGCAAATAACTTGGGCGCCAATTACTGTGGTTTTTTTTGTTTTTTTGTTTTTGTTTTTTGTTTAGGAGCGTGGAGATGGTTTCTATAATTTTTTTCTTTTTTCGTGTGTGTGTGTGTGTGTGTGTGTGTGTGTGTGAGAGAGAGAGAGAGAGAGAGAGATTCAGCAGCCTGGCCTCTCTTCCTCTTCTAGGCCAAGACTGTGTGTGCCTGGCTGCTTGGGGCTCTGTAAGTATTTATGCCGTGGCTGGCTGCCGCGATTTGATGATTCTGATTCTCGGATATTGTTATTATTTCTCTTATTAGTGGTTCCCAGTCAGGAGAGCAGTGTTTGGCTTCTAGGCATACTGATAATCTTTGGCCAGAATTCTCAGGTATGCTGCTCTTCAGCCTCGGGGGCATTTCTTTCTCTTGAAATAATAACAATTAACGTTTATTGAGGGCTGCTTCTGGCCAGGCTCTGGGGCAGGTGTGGGGTTTTGAATCTAGTCGTAATCCATCCAACCTAGGAAGGTTGTTGTCACCCACGTTTACCGAGAGGGCATTGAAAGGTCAGAGTCACAGCTGGTAAGTGGTGTCAGGAGTTGTACTTCGGTCAGCTTAGTAGTTTCGTCTGCCCAGTGAATCAGTGGCTCAGAGCAAGGCTGGACATTATTAAAGCTAACAGAGTGGGTGAGTGCTCCTTGTTGAGGTTCAGAGAAAGCTGTTAGGCATGCACTAGGCCTGCTTCAAAGGGGTAAAAATGAAACTGGGTGGGAACTTCCCTAGGATCCCCAACATGAGGATCTTGCCGTTCTGTTTTTTTTTACAGCCATTGTTGAGCTCAAAAAAGCAAGCCAATCTGGTTCTTTTTTGGTTTTTCGAGACAGGGTTTCTCTGTGTAGCTTTGGGTCTTTTCCTGGAACTCACTCTGTAGCCCAGGCTGGGCTCGAACTCACAGAGATCTCCCGAGTGATGGGATCAAAGGTGTGCCCGGCCGGTCTGGTTCTTTAAGGATATAAACTTTAAGGAGTTTCATAGTTTCTTCTAAGAATTAATTTTTAGTACATTTACTGTGTGTTTGTGTATTTATATGTATCATAACATGCGTGTGGGGGTCAGAGGTCAGGCATCTTGTGGGAGCCAGGCCTTTCCTTCTGCCATATAAGTCCATGGATCAAGGTCTGTGCTACCCAGGTAGGTCCAGTGGATCAAACTCAGGTTCTCAGACCTGGCTGCAAGCACCTTTTCCTGATGAAGCCATCTTTCCAGGCCTAGCAGTTTAATACTTTTATTTTTACCCAGTTTCTAATATTAACTTTGTTACATGACCCATTATGTGTGTGGATTAACTCAGTAATGTTTGATTCCTTTTTTTTTTTTTTTTTTCTGTAACAACCATGCTTGGGATTGGACTGATGCCTTAGACATGGCAGGCAAGCACAGCCACTGAGCTTCATATCCAATGTGAAGTTTTAATTTAAGCAGATCCAGGACAGGCACCAAAACTACACAGAGAAATTCTGTCTCAAAAAAAAAATTTTTTTTTAAATTTAATTTTAATGATTTATTTTTATTTTATGTGTACAAGTCTTTGCTTGAGTGTGTGCTTGTGCATTGTGTGCCTGCCAGGAGCTGGAGGAGGTCAGAGAGGATGTTGGATCTCCTATAACTGGAGTTACAGATGGTCATGAGCTACCATGTGGGTGCTAGGAACTAAGCCCAGGTCCTTTGCAAGAGCAGTAAGCACTTTTAACCTTTGAGCTATCTCTTTAGCCCTGTTTATTTAAAATATATATATTATATATATATAATATATATATATGCACATAAACACACACACCCAAGGGGTGGGAAGTATGTGCATGTTAGCGAAGTGCCCAGGGAAGCTGGATGAGACCTGGAGCTACAAGTAGCCTCCCAATATGGGTGCTAAGCACCCAGCTCAGGTCCTCTGCAAGAGCAGCACTTGCTCTTAACTGCTGAGCCATCTCTCCAGCACTCTCTTTTTCTAAGATTCATTTGTTTGTGTTCGTATGAGCGTTTGCCTGCATGTTTTTATGCGCACCCCTGGAGTTAGGGGTGTGTGTGAGCTGTCATGTGAATGCTGGGAAATAAACCTGGGTCCCCTGTAACAGCAGTAAGTGCCCTTAACTGCTTAACTGTCTCTTGGCTCTTTTTTTTTAAGCTCTGTCGATTGGGTTTGAAATCCAGAGGGTTATGTGTAAGGGATGATTTGGTCGTCTTGTCTCTCATACAAAGGTAGGACCTTTTAAGTGTCTTAATGTTGACTTCCTGGTGTTCTTCATTATTATTTACAAATAGATTTCTGTTTCTTCTAGAATTTGCATATCAAAGGCAAGGGGCTTTCTTCCCCCTGCCCCCTACTTTGTGGAATCCTCTGCAGAATTCTGCCATTTTATGTGCTGAAAATGTTTATTTAGTTGATTGAAATTGTGTGAGCCATAAGTTTCAAGACTGGCTTTGTAGTTGTCAGAACTAAAGAAAAACAAAAACAAAACAGAAGTGATCATGGTAAAGATACAAGGAGATGGCTTAATATTTGTTGACATAAAAAAAAGCCATTTGACCCAAAATTTCCGTACTGGTGCACACCTTTAATTCTTGAGCTTGTGAGGCAGAGGCAGGTGGGTCTCTGTGAGTCTGATGGCAGCCTGGTCTACAGAGCTAGTTCTAGGCCAGCTAGGGATACACAGTGATAGCTTGTCTCCAAAAACTGTAAAAACAAACAAAAAAGCCAATTGGGATTAGCAAAATGGCTCAGAAGGTAAAGAATCTCGCCCTTAAATCCGATTCATGGGACCCACTGACTCCTGAAAGTTGTCCTTGGACCTCACGTGTACACACACTAAATGAATTAAACGTAATTAAAAAAACAAAAGCCAACTATCTATGAAGTGTTAGGTGACTTTTCACCCTGTTTAACTTCCTACTATCTGAATAGCCAACTTTCTTGTACAAATGAGGTGAGAGGTCAAATAGTTTTTCATGTTGTCCCCCGCCCCCGCCGCCCCGCCCCCCCCCCCCCCCCCCCCATCTTTCTCTCTCTTTTTCTTTCCTTTTGGTTTTCCAAGACAGGGTTCCTCTGTATAGCCCTGGCTGTCCTGGAACTTGCTCTGTAGACCAGGCTGGCTTCGAATTCAGAGATCCACCTGTCTCTGCCCCCCAAGTGCGGGACCAAAGGTGTGCGCCGCCATACGTGGCTCTTGGAGTTTTTCTTTGACATGAAAAAGAAAA